AGCAGCGCGCGTGCGCTTCTTCTCCAGCAGCTCCTCGTGCGTGCGCGTGGCGTTGAGGTAGTGCTTGTGCTCGGCCTGCGCATGCTGCTGCAGCGCCACGCCGGCGGGCGCGCGGCGCGAGTCGGAGAGGCAGAACATGTAGATGGCAAACGCGACGCTCGTGAAGAGCAGGTTCGTCAGCGCCGCACTGGCCACGTAGCCGGCCGGCTGGAAGCACTGGCGCCCGTAGAGGGCGCCGCATGCGAAGCGCGCGCCCAGGTCGCGCGCCGTGTTGAGCGAGACGCCAAAGGAGCCGAGGCCCCACACTGCGACGCCGAAGGATAGGCCCACTGCGAAAGGCGCCTGCGCGGGCGAGACGAACGGATTGCTGCCGTCGACGCACGCGGCAATGACGAGGCCGACGAAGAGATCGCCGAACACCTCGACGGCAAACGACTGGCGCATGGGCACGCCGGCGGGCGGGAAGAGCGCAATGATGCCCGCCGGCCCCTGCGGCGAGAAGATGCGGCTGTTGGCGGCGGCGCCGAGCCGCAGCAGGCCGGCGTGGTAGGCGTCCATCTCGCTCTGGAACATGGCGTACACCATGAGCGAGGAGACGAAGCCGCCGAGCAGCTGGAAGAAGAGGTAGAGCGGCACACGCTTCAGCGGGAAGCCCTGGATTGGCGAAAGGGGGGCAACAGTCAGCAAAAGGCGGCGGGGGGCGCGCATGTATGCGTGCGGAGAGGGCGGTGGGCATGCGCACGCACCTTGAAGATGACCTGGGCGATGAGCACGCCCGGGTGGAAGATGCCGCCGGAGGCCGTGGCGCAGACGATGAGGGCAAAGGCAATGCCAAACGAGTAGGCCAGGCCAATGGTGAGCAGGTTGCCCTGCGGCTCGCCGGCCACCGTGGTGAGCACGAGGGTGGCAGTGGCGATCTGGCCGGCGAAGGTGTAGAGCCAGACTGGCAGGCAAAGGACAGTGAGCCATGCGTACAGCAGGGAGGGGAGGGATGAAGATGGGCAAGCGACTCACCGCCGAAGAACTCGCCCACGGCCGCGCCGACCCACGACGGGCGCGCGGCGTCGACCTTGATGCGCAGCATGCTGCGCTCCAGGCCGGCGACGGGCACGACCTCGCGCACCTCGTTGCGGCCCTCGAGCACCTCGGTGATGCCGAGCTCGAGCTGTGGACGAAAGCCAAGTCAGCATGAAGCATGGCTAGAGAGGCACACAACAACGCACCTGGCCCGGCGCACGGTGCTGCCGCTGGAAGCCGTGGTGCGAGTGGTCGCCGCTCGTCTTCTCCTCGGACGGCGCGTCGCCGGCATGGTAGGTGGGCGCGACGTGCTGCTGCTGTGTCGAGGCCATGGTTGCGAAGTGGGCAACGAGGGATGGGTGGTGGTGGTGGTGGTGCGGGAGGCAAACAAGAGGCGAGCGGGCGGGTGCTTATGAGGCGCCGGCGAGGCGGCAGGGCGCCCTTTGCGGCGAGCCACTGCCTGCCCGCTGCCGAAGCGCCGGCAGCACTGCCATCCTCTGCCCCCTCGAGCGGCAGTGCAGCAGAGGTGCGAGTGCAGTGCTGACGCCACTGCCGATTGCGGGGGTGGCGGCGTGCAGGTGAGGGGCAAGTGGTGCCGAGCAAGGCACGCAACCCTGACGGCAGCCCCGACGTCTTCGTTGCGTGCTTGTGCCGCCTTCTCCGTCTCTCCTCTCGTTCCGCGCAGTCGAAGCTCGGGGCGTCAGAGCGGCCGGCAGCGCCTTCTCTTGCTCTGCTTGCCCCCTCGCCCCTGCTTGTGCTGCTCAAGTGGCGCTCAGCTGCAGCGGACGGAGGCGCCGAAGGGAGAGCGGAAGAACCAACGGCTGGGTCGCTGGCCGCGCTGACCGCGGAGCAGCGCGCAGCGAGGCAGGCTAGCAAGGCGGCATGGGGCCCCGCAGCCGCAGCGAGAAGGAGGAGGGCCGAGGCAGCAGGCAGGCACGGGCGCTGCAGCTGCTGCAGGTGGCGGGAATGCCCTGATGCTGACCCGTTGTGCCTGAAGGCCGGCGCTACGGCAAAGGCACCGAGGGAGCGAGGCCGCAGCACGCCCGCCGCCGCAGCGAGCGATGCAGCGTGAGGAGAGAGGGGTGCGAGGTGGAGCGAGCGGGGCGCGCAGCCGCGGGAACATCGGCACGGCACAGGCGCCCCTGTCATGCCGCCACGTCAAAGCTCATGCCGAGGGCGGAGATGCAGCTTTCGGCACGGCGGTGCCGCCGGCTCACCCGGCTTGACTTTGGCCGCAGCCGGCGGCGCGGAGTCGTCCGAGTCGTTCGAAGTGGGGCCTCTCTCTCGCGGCTCTCCTCTACAGGGCGAGCTGCAGCGGCCAGCTGCCCTGCCTGCTGCTGAGGCTGACGCTGCAGCCCTGCGCCTGCAGGTGCAGCATCAGCTGCGATGCGACATCGTGGGGGGGCATGGACGCCGCACGCCCGCAGCCGCCGCTCCGGTCCGCCGCTCAATAGACTGCTGCTGCTCCCCTGCATCAAGTCTCAGCCGCGGTGCGTCCAGTGCCCGCCTTTGACGTGGCGGCCCCCCGGGTGCCGCTGCCGCGTGCCGCCCACGCCCGCATCTTACTCGGCTCCCTGCCGGCTCCCCCCCGCACTCGCACTGCGCCATCGAGGCCGAAGCTGGGACGGAAACATATGGGAGCCGAGCAAGCCGGGCATGCCAGCATCAGCAACAGGGTTGGCACACGCAGCGCGCGAGAGGGTTGACAGCGCTGGCTGCAGGGTTGGCAGCGCAGCACAGCGAACAAACACGATTGCGCGGCGGGCATTGCCCGGTGGTGCCCTGGCCGCGGGCTGCGGCTGGCTCTCCTCTGTCATGCTGGGTGCTCTTCGCAACCTGGACAACACGGCACGCGCCAGCAGGCTGAGCACGGCAGCGTCGAGAGAGAGTCACACCTTGCTATGCCGGCGCCGGGCGGCGGTGTTGGACGTGCGTGCGGATGCGCAGCACCAGGGCACGGGGGCGCCTATGAGAAGCCGCACAAGGGCGCCCGGAGCGGGGCCCGCCGTGCGTAAAGCCCCCTTCTCGTTGCACGGGTTGCTCGACATCGAATCTGAATGCTGCGCTCTCTGCGTAGTGTCGACAGGAGGGGGGTTGGGCCAAATCGCGCCTCCCTCCGCGTGCGCTGTCATACTCGTACTCGCATCACAATTTGTCAGACCTGTCATGCGGGGCTGCAGAGCGAGGCTTCTGGATTGCCTGCCCGAGCTGATGGCGCCTGCGTCTTGTCTGCGCGCCTGCGCCGTGCAGACGTGGTGTGTGCATGATGGGGCGAGGCGGGGCGGAGAGGAGAGAGAGAGAGCGTGGGAGCCGCACAGCGCCACTTCCGCGGCTTTTGCACGAAGGGCTGCGGCGGCGCAGCGAGAGCGCGTCACGTGCGCCCATCCGATTTCTCTTCCCGGCTGCGCCGGCGCGAGCGCGACTGCGCCGATGTTGCCCTTGCCCGCGCGCCGTCGCGATTTCGCCGCGCCGCCGCCCGTCGACGGCGGCGCCGCTGGCCGCCCAGGCTCCCGACCACCAACCCTCAAGCTGTGAGTACTGCTGTTGACGCCCTTTGCCCTCACGGCGCCCCGCTGCGCACGCCGATGTGTGCGCACGCTGCAGGAGGGCAAAGATGGGCAGGACTGGGCGCTGGCAGAGAATGACGGGCACGCGAGAAAGGATGAAGATGGGGAGAGCGAGAGGCGAAACAGAGGGCGCAAGCTGGCCCCCGCGGCGCAGACAGGAGAAGGGGCTCGCCCCGACGCAAAAGACACACAGCCATTCTCCTGTGCAGCTGCACGAGCTGGGACGTCGGGTGCAAGGGCCGCGGCTGGACACGTCGGATGTGCAAGGCAGCAGGCGCGCTCTGAGGGCAGCGCGACGGACGGGCGTGAAGCATGGCGTCTGCGGCGCAAGCATCCCTTTCTTCCTCTCCAGATCACCCGTTTCTCACGCTCTTCCATCTTCCAGTGTCAACAATGTCGAAGCCCCAGGCCGGTAACAAGTTCCGCCTCACGCTGGCGCTGCCCGTGGGCGCCGTGATGAACTGCGCGGACAACTCGGGCGCCAAGAACCTCTTCGTCATTGCCGTGCACGGCGTCGGCGCGCGCCTCAACCGCCTCCCCGCCGCCGCCGCGGGCGACATGGTGGTGGCGTCGGTGAAGAAGGGCAAGCCGGAGCTGCGCAAGAAGGGTGAGTTTTGGCGCGCGGCGGCGGCGGCGTGGGGTTGGCATGGCACAGAAGGCGATAAGCATGGGCAAGGAATGGGGCTGCAACGAAAGACGTGGCTTGATGCCTCCCTCCCCCCCCCCACGGCGCAGAGGCGACCAGCTCTGCGCAGCCAACACGGGCAGAGGGAGCTTCCGAGAGGGGGGAGGGGGAAGCATTGCACGATTGTTGGGTTGCGCGGCATGCCCTTCTTGCCTTTTGCGCTCCAGCTCTTCGGCCCGCCCCGCGCCCATGCTACAGTTGCTTTCCCGCACTGCCTGTTGCCAAATGCTCACCCTGTCCCTCCCCCAGTCATGCCCGCCGTGGTGGTGCGCCAGCGCAAGCCGTGGCGCAGACGCGACGGCATCTTCCTCTACTTTGAGGACAACGCGGGCGTCATTGTGAACCCCAAGGGCGAGATGAAGGGCTCGGCCATCACGGGTCCCGTCGCCAAGGAATGCGTGAGTGGGGTCGACCGCGCGCGCGCGTGTGTGTCGTCGTCGTCGTCGTCGTGTGCTGCCTGGCACGCTAGAGATGTAGGAGAGGAGGAGAGACAAGAGGGGCGAGGCGAGAGAGAGAAGCTGATGGCACAGCGACCCCGGGGGGGGGGGGGGGGGGGGGCGGACGAGATGCGAGCGCACACGCTGTGGGCAGCAAACGCTCCGTCCGTCTTGGCTTTTGTTTACGTCCGCCTTGATGCGTCCGCACGCCTGCCTTTGATGCGCATTTCACTGACGCATACTCTCTGTCTCTCGGTGCAGGCCGACCTGTGGCCGCGCATCGCCTCCAACGCCGGCACCGTCGTGTAAAAAGACTCAACCATCGTGTCATCCCTCATTCACTCACACGCATTGATCATCCTTTTGCAATGACCACTTCTCTTGCTGCCCTTGTCTCAGTCGTCAGCCGTGCGCCTCCTCGCGCCATACTTCTGTGTGTGGGTCTGCGACTTGCGTTTGCGAGTTCCCCAGCATAGAGGGCGCTGTGCCGAGATGAGAGCGAGTCTCTGCGCTGGGCCCCGAAACCTGAGGCTGCCGCTGAGATGCAGGTCCCGTCGGTCGTCGCTCTCCATCATGGCGGAAGCAGGCGCCCGAAGTAAGGCTTTGCTCGCGCCATGACGCACAGCAGGCGGCCGACGTACAGCTCTGGCAGCGCTGCTGCCCCGGGCCATCGTAAAGAAGAAGTCGGCGCAACTTGCCAACACATACCTCAGTAAGGCTGGAGGTGGCTTGAAAGAAAAAGCATCCAAAGTGCGTCTGGGCACCTGCGAGTGAAGCTCATCATTCCCCCCGAGCTACTCACGCTGAAGGCAGCGGCGGCCAAGGGCGATGCCTCGCGTGACGCAAGCCGCTGCGCCGCGCGGCCGCGGCGGCGCGTGTGCGACGCTCGGCGCTCGGGCGCAAGGCGCTGCTGCGCTGCGCGTCTTGCTGCGACCCTGCATCTACCACTCCCTCGACATTTCCGGACAGCCAGCTACGCACCGCACCGCCTCCTCTCCCTGTGCCTCACTCACGACACACACACACCGTCACGCCAGCGACCAGCCGCGCACTTCTCTCGCACGCGCCTCGCGCCTGCGGTCGCATTCGCCGGCCCAGGCTCTCGCGGAGCTCCGGCTTCTCGGCCCCTCTCTCCACTTCCTGCGCCTACACTCCTCATCCAAGTGGCTCTCTCCTCAGCCATGACTCTCGATCTCGACGCCTCGCTGGCGCTGCTGCGCACGTGCAAGTACCTGCCCGAGGCCGACATGACGGCGCTCTGTGCGCGCGTCAAGGCGCTGCTGCTCGAGGAGAGCAACATCCAGCCCGTGCAGAGCCCCGTGACCGTGTGCGGCGACATCCACGGCCAGTTCTGGGACCTCCTCGAACTGCTGCGCGTCGGCGGCGAGCCGCCCGAGACGGGATATGTGTTCATGGTGAGTGCTGCCTGCCCTTGCGAGCTTGCGATGCTTGCGAGCTTGCACAAAGTGTGGGCGCCGAGCTCGGTGCAAAAAGGCGCGAGGCGGAGCGGCGGGCGGGCGAGAGTGGAGGAGTGGGGGAGAGAGGAAGCGTGAGGGGGGAAGAGCAAGAGGGGCGTAGGAGAGAGAGAGAGAGAGGCTTTGGGAGGCGGGACTTCG